AAGCCCCCCTATGCTTAGAGTGCTGACGGAGCACCTAGACAAATGGGCGGATAAACCCATTTCCTGGATTGGTAGGATACATTCCGTAAAAATGAACATCCTCCCGCGCTTACTGTTCCTTTTTCAGGCGCTACCCATCCGAGTCACGAAGACACAATTGCTCCCCTTGCAAAGGTCAATAGGGAATTTTATATGGCAGAACAAGAGACACAGAATTTCCAAACAGGTACTGTATAGACGCAAAGATAGAGGGGGCCTGGGCCTTCCGAACCTCCTCTTTTATTACCTAGCAGCACAACTAACGCAGATAGCCATGTGGCACTCCGCTCCTGAGGAAAGGCGGTGGGTGAATATATAATCTATGATGGTGGGGGTGAACGTCCCCCAGTTTACAATGTGGGTCCCCAGGGAATACAGACCGGAGATACGGATTACATGCCCAGCGATTCTTAATTCGATCCGCATATGGGACATGTGTAACACCAAATATAGGCTGGCATCATCCCCTTCCCCTCTGACCCCACTTCTTAGGAACAGAGAATTCCCGCCTGGTATGACCCCCAGGGATTTCCGCAACATCGAACGTGCTGGATTGCAACGGTTGCATCAGCTGTTTCATAATGAAGAGGTCGTTCAGTTTTCGGACCTTCAATTGGGCAATCACCTGACTCCAGCGGATTTCTTTCGGTACATCCAAATACGAGACTTCGCCCAAAAACCAAACATTAAAAAGGCTGCATTGGAGACGCACACCTTCTACGAGAAGATATGTTCGGACGGGGTAACCCCCAAGGGGCTGATCACATTTTTGTACGCTCATCTCAGTGAGGAGAATGGGGAAGACGAACGTATACTGTTCAATGGGAGAATGACCTCGGTGAGACCTTGGAGGGGCTTGAGTGGAGGGAGATATGGGAGGCAAATTCTAAGGTTTCAATGTGCGTCACCCTACAGGAGCAGGCGTGGAAAACTATGTTCCAATGGTATACCACCCCAATTCAATTACATAGGATGCACAAACTAGACACGGACGATTGCTGGAGGGGTTGCGGAGACCAAGGGACGTATTTACACATGTGGTGGCAATGCTCAAAACTACGCGGATTCTGGAAGTCTGTGGAGGATTTGTTGAAGCAGATATTTGATAAGTCTCTGAGATTAGACCCCTGGACCTACTTATTAAATAGATCTGTGGACGGATGGACCGCTCGGGAACAGAAATTAGTACGCAAGATTACTTTGTGCGCGCGTAGAGCGATAGCGACGGCATGGCTCACTTCAGAGGGCCCGGATTTCGCAGGGGTTATCTCCAGAATTAAAGAATGTAGAATTATGGATGATTTGACAGCGAGGGTGAGAGGGACCGCCGTAACATTCCAAAAACTCTGGGAACCAATAGCGTATTTGGATCGAATGGAGATTGAAGGCATACCCCTGCGGGTGCTGACCACAACGATATACCGCCGGATAGGGCGCCGCTGCCAGCGGAGAGTTGGTAGGCCCGCCGCTTCCCCCCCCCCCGTCCCCTCCTTTTCCTTTTCAGCCTTGACTATGCACTTCTCACTTTCTCTCTAAGTCTTTTTACTTCCTCTTTTTCTTTCTTTTTCTCTCTTCTTTCTTCGTTTCATGTGATTTGTTTTTCAGGCTTGATCAAACGGTTGGAGGAACAAGGTAGCACAGTTAGGAGGTAGATCAGCATATATGATGGCTACTTAACTTTTGCTGATTAGCCTGCACCTTTATCTACCATAAGATTCCCCGACAAACGAAGAGAGCCAAAAATAAGTTACGATACAGGCAAGCGATAATTACAACGACTAACGTTCCCTTATATTAATTTGTAATTTAATAGGCCTCTATATTAGCCCGAAAGTGACTGTATAACTGTTGAATTGCCTGTTCAATGATGTATATCCTAGAAGGGGGCAATGAAAAATTAAAAAAACACCTCGATAGACGGCAGGTGCCAGTGGATTCAGTATATGACGGGGCACACATTGTTTTTCTATTTTTTTTCTTGGCAAACTGTACAATGATTCCAAAATGCTGAACATGTTGGCTTCTGTGTAAGCCTGAAAGTTGATGTACACTTGCTGATTCTATTGAGTAAAAATAAAGAATTTAAAAAAAAAAAAGAGTGAGAAGCCAAGAGACATGTTGGAATTGCCGTGGATGCGTTATTTTAAGAATGAACACCCCGACTTGACGTGGATGCACCGATATTGGAATGGGAGCACTGCGACCATTACTGAATTGACGCAGATGCATCAAAATGCAAAAGTTCCATAACAGTCCTGTTATTAATGCCTAACTCATTTGTGTACTTCTTATAGTATTTAGACAGCCCCCTTTTACTGAGTTATTTGTTTTGTGTTTCGTTTTGTGTGCTTGATAGTGTTTTTTCTATATACATGTGTATATATACACACATACATATATACATATTATTTTTATTATTTATAAAGCACAAACAAATTCTGCAACGCTGTACAATGGGTAGATAGCCTTGGATGCTTTCATACTCAATATATGACCTGTGAATTGAAACACATACAATGTTATCATGCATTTAAAAAGGCATTTCCTGCTCTCTATGACACTGGGTGTGTCGTATTGACACAGAGCATGTGACAGGTGTAAAGTGCTATATAAACATACTTTTACCTACAAAGATAACCATGCATACTGATGATATTTACTAACACCTTTATATTCAGTCACATAAAGATAAACAGATATAGCCATATACATCTACCTACATACATATTTACCCAACCGACAAACTCAGTAAAACACACCTGAGCAGACAACCCCACAAACAGTAAGAAACACACACACACACACCCCCCCCCCCATATACATAATAACATGCAGAGAACTCTAAGGCTGCTTTCAAAACACTCTGTCTCCATATGTGTGTGGGAATCTGCATTCCAGATGAAGGCCCGAGACACGCTGGAGACAGGAGCTGGAGGATGAGGATGTGTGTGTGAGAAAGGAGGGGGGATTACGAGAAGAAATAAACTGCATATTTAGATGGATGTGACCTTACGCAATTGGGTTTACTTGTACACGGCATGTTCATTATTAGACAAACCACTGTGGGGTTTGTTCATTATACACTTTGTTTTAGGTATATTTCTAATTTAGAGAATCTGGAAACATTTGGGTACAGTTCAAGTGCAGCTCACTCTTAGCTAGGTAAAACATCCATGGGGAATTGAATTACTGCCTGAAATGAATTGAGTGTATATTTACTTCAAATGTGATTTAGTTAAAGAGCTCAAATTAAAAAAAAGATTCTGATTACAGCTGAAAAATGTTTGACCGTGATATTAGGTAGATTGGGAGATGGATGGATGGATAGATAGATAGATAGATAATCAAATCTTACCTTTATAAAGAATGTAATATTACCTATTGCAGTGCTCCATTGTTTAAATTTGCACCATGTAATCAATATGTATTCTCGTACATATGGATTGTGTCTCCAAAATTAAATAACTTACTCTTATACAGGTTTCAAAGTGGATGTTTGTGTATTTGTATTGTATATTCAGTGACAGAACACATGACAGAAATGGAAAATTTAATAAGATACCATTTTTGATGCTGACATATCGGCCTAGTGTCTGCTGTTTGGGGAGAATTTAAAAAGTAGAAATGCATTGTCAGTAAACCTTGGATCTATTATGTGAAAGGCTTTCACTACACGGATCTCACTACCAATCCCCCCCCTTCCTATTTCCAGGAAGAAATGGGTGGGATCAGGACACAGACCCTCTCCCTGGCGTCTGCTGTGTCCGGCTCAGACACCATGGCGTCTAACTGCTCTGTTCCCACTGAAAAAAACTTATAAAGGGTTTTCTAGAATAATACAGGAGCACTCGGCCATGGAACATATTGGGAGGTGCAGGGGGAAACTTCACAACATCAACATTTAGAGTCTCCCAAAAGCTTCTATGTAGAATAGATCAAAAGAGACACTGTGATGTCTTTGTTTTTTATATATAATAATCTGTTTATTTTTTTACATAAATTATTATAAATCTTTTTTTAAATTATGTAAGTGTACAGCATGACAACATTTTAGTAGAGTCTGACTGGAGTGGATAATGTGCAGTATTTTAATGGAGCCATAGTTTAAAGTTTTTTTTATTGAGGTAAAATGTATTTGTATTTACCCATGTACCTTGCTCCTGTCACTTGAACCCCTCCCGTTTCCACCTCACAGGATGTGGTGTTATCCACAGATGGGAAAATCACAGCCTAAGATCAGAGATAGCTGTGTGTCTGCCCTTGACACTGAGCTAAAAATGTATTACATGAGATAAAAAAAGGAGCTTTTAAGGCACAAAATGTGTTTGTGGTGTCAATGGAGTGGGCGAGGAAGGAAATTGCAGATAAACAGTAAAGTGTAGAACTGCATGCCTCCCCAACCACACACAAACACCATTAACATTTTCACTGCCAGGTTAAAAAAAAAGGTGTGTCCCCCAATATATTGTTAGCAATGGATCACTTTTTTAAACGCAGCTTTTTAAATTTAACCATGGGTTGTGACCCAAAATGACAATTGTAGGAGCATTGTGAAAACATGATTTCTTGGAATTACTGTGCCAATGATGTACTTTTCCCAAGGTCCCAAGGTGCAGATAATGCAACAGTTATTATATAGTATACAGGGTCAGCCTTCGGGGTGTACAAAGTGTGCAGCCACACAGGACGCCATGACAGCATGGGTGCTAAGCGGCCAACACAGCTATCAGGTCACCCACATTCATGGCTCCTAGAATCTGTCCACTGGTGCAGACATCAGAGATGCATGCCGGGGCCATGTGTAATGGAGTAGAATTACCAGATTTTACTAATTTCATGACATAAAGTCATGATTTTATTAATGACACGGAGGCTCATATTAGGCTTTATCTCTTTATTTATTCCTCAGCAGCAAATAAAGAATATTGTCATATTCATAGAAAAATCTTTAAACTTGTACCATCAAAGGGTTAACACATAATACATCCAATAAGAATGCTCTCTATATCATAAACCCCCATGTGACCTAAGCCACTCCTCTTTTTTGTTGATGCCGACGAAAAACTCAGTTCAAGAAACCTATGGTCAATGTGGAACCGAAACAGCAAGTCTTTGGGTAGATGAACTGGAACTCCGTGGGAGATGGGTACTCCGTTATAACATGAAAGGAACCAATGCACAACAGTGCCAAGTCCGATTATGAGGCTGAAAGGAACAGAGAAACAACTGGTGAAATTTTTCTGGACAACAAAATATATCCATAATACGTTATTAAATAGAGTAGTAAATCCAAAGTAAGCAGAATCATAACGTACAAGAACCCTCAATAAGTGCATACCCAGTAGTATCATAATTCCATTAGCAAATAAAAGAAAACATATGAGGGACGGCGCCAACATACCTGCATCGGGTGGGATAATACTTGTCTCCGTGTCCTTAATAAAATCATGGCTTTATTTCATGAAAATAGTAAAATCTGATAACTTTATTAAAGGACACAGAGGCTAATGTATGCTAGTTCAAAGCTGTAAAACCACCACATCAGAAAAATGCGAAACTGGATGAAAATAAAATTCTTTAAAAAGTGGATTCACCGGACCAATCAGCAGCGCGGAGGAGATCTTCTAATCTGTATCCCTTGGTGAAAGCTTTAGATGGCTCCCCTGACAGAATGTACCCCATTCGCTGAAGTGTCGATGCCAGCCGACATCATGATCCATTTGACCCAACGAGATAAAGTGACTGTATAAACAGGATGATGAGGTTGTCGAAGTGCCAAGAATAATCCTGACATGCTGGTTCACGATTTAGAGAAGTCCTAGATTTGTATTCTTTGAGACAGTTCACCAGACATAGTTTAATATTCTGAGGGAAAGCTGGGTAGAAGACAGAGGTGATAAATGTTTTTGTATGTCTTGAAATATCAAACGAGACACCCTCAGGGGTAAAGGCACATGCAGAAATGTCCAAGGCACGCCCATCTGACACACGTTTACATGAGATTAGGCAAAACAGCATCACCAGCTTCGCCTATAGTTGTTTGAGTGAGAGGTCTTCATTCGTTTGCCAATTTTCAAAAAGCCGGAGGACAAGGTCCACATTCCAAAGTAAAGAGTACCTAGGTTAGGGTGGACATGCGAATCTGATTCCCTCAAGGGGCCAGCACACCAATAGGTGTTTTCCAGCTGGGAAGCCATCCAATCCCTGATGTCATGCAGAAATAGCTGATCAGTACAAGCTCCCGCCAGAATGTCAATAGTTGACTGTGGAACATCTGGGACGAAACTGAGTCCCCGGAAAGGATCCAAGCCAGTAACCTGTGATGTCCTTGCAATACTAGGGAATGTGAGTTCCAGCTGGGAGGTCTGGTGAGGTAGCAAGTAAACTCGGATAGTCTATGGACATTTCCATGGTTGAGCCGTCCAGAACGGGGATAAGAGGATCAAGCAGGTCTGGTAGCATCTGAGATGAATGAGTGTCCGAGCTATCAGGGAGAATGGAAGGAAAGCATAGTGCCGAGTGTCCTGCCACGACTGAAGGAAAGCGTCTGATGCCAAAGTTTCTGGTTCCGGTCTCCAGCTAAAGAATTTCGGTAGTTGGAAGTTCAACCATGATGCGAAGAAGTTGATCCCCAGTGGACCCCAAAGTGACCATAGTCAGAGGAAAATGGCACGATTCAGTTGCTAATAGCTGGTATCCTGCAGGTATCTGGAATTCCAGTCCTCCACCCTGTTAGACATCCCGGGAATATATTCTGCCTGAACTGAGATGTTGCGATCTAGGCAGAATTTACAGAGATCCTTTGCTAGTTCTGCCAATACCAAGGACCTCGTGATGATTGATGTAGCAGACTGCTAACACATTGTCCATGTGTAAAAGGATGGAGCAGTTGATTGAAATTTTACAAACGAGCCTGCCAGGTTTTCGAGGCAATTGATTTGCAACTCCTGTTCATCTGGGGACCGCAGCACTCGCCCCAACCAAGCATACTTGCATCCGACTCCACTACGAAATCCAGGGTGATCCCGATGATTGCTGTTCCGTTCCTGCTTCCATGTGCTGCAGCCACCAAGTGAGTTCTTCTTTGGCTGTGCAGAGAGAAGGCCGATGATCCTGGCCAGTTGCCGCCGTGTCAGCACCGGCCGTGCCAGTGTCCAACGGATTTCCTTCCTGATGGTCTTTATCTTGGATGTTGGTAGAAGGAGTGCCCCATGGCAAAACCCAGGAGAGGGTTTTATGACCGACTTGTCCCAGTTGATGAGGAAGCCAAGGTTGCAGAGTAAAGTCCTCATCCAAGCTAAATGTTGGCGGAGTATGAGTGGGTCTTGTGCCATCATGAGTATATCCTTCAAGTATATAATCAGACAAACCCCTCTGCTTTGCAGGAGGGCCACCACAGGTCTCATGAGCTTCGTGAAGCACCAAGGGGCTGATGAGAGACTGAAGGGCAAGCATTGGAAACGCCACATGGTCGTCTCCCACCGGAATTGCAGGAAACGTTGGCAGTCTTCGGCCATCGGCACAGTGAGGTAAGCGTCCTGAAGGTCGAGCTTGACCATCCAATCCCCTAGGAGGAGTAAGTCTAGGAGGGAGTGAACACCTTTCATCTTGAAATGGTGGTAAGTGACAAAAGCGTTTAGGGGTCATAAGTTGATGACCGGTCGGACACGACCCCCTTTCTTGAGAACTAGGAATAGGTTGCTTAGATAGACTGCCTGTTGCGGATGTGTCTCTAAGATTGGGACTTTGGTGGCCAGAGACTGTATCTCTGCTGCAATTAGGGACCGGTCGCGTGAGGAAAAGACCATTTGGTTGAGGAGAGACCATTGGATGGGGTACTGTACAAAGTCTATGGCATAACCCAAGACAGTCTGCAGGACCCAAAAATCTGAAGTTAACATGCGACAGGCATTGACAAAATGGCGTAATTTGCCCCCCACATTCGTTATAGAAGAAAGGGAGGACGGGAGTGGACTTACCATAGGAAGAACCTCTGGCTCTACGGGACTGCCAAGGCCTGCCTTGAACTGAGAAGAACGGTGAGGTAGACATGGGTTCATGAACTTAGTATCGTGAGTAAAATGAGCCTCGAGAAACCCTGTACGAGCCCTGGGAGGAACGGCCGGACAGACAGCCCCGGTATCTGCCGACCCCAGCAAAAACTCTTGGTGAGAATACCTTTTTCATATTGGCTTGTGACTTATCAAGTGCGGTAAATGTCCCCTCATAGGTGCCCAATTCCTACGAAATTGTCCACAAAAAGGAGACCAAGGTATCTTATCAAAAAGTGGTTCACCTTGGGGATCAAGGATGGTGGAGTCATTCACACCATCCTTAGCATCATTCTCAGACACAGATTTTTTTTTTTATTTATAAAGCTTTTATTGGGTTTTCAAAAATGGTCACAATCAAATCAAATCAAAAGGGTACATAAGAGAAAAAGGAAGGGGGGTGTGGGGGATGTACACATTTACATCCAGGGTGACAACTGGCATTTTGTTAGTATAATACATTTTCAAATAGGTACAATTATTTAGAGTATATACAGTGTTAGTCCCGTGTCGGTATATGTAGCACGCAGCTGTGCTGGAGAATGTCCAGTGGTCTGTGTAGTAATGTAGGCCGCTCAGCCTGGTCGTTACGGGTGGTTGTGTACGTTAGATACCGTTGCTTATTCGTGTTCCAGGAGGCCCTTTCGGTGTGGAATCCCCGTATGAGAGGGTGTGAACTTTGAGGAATCAAACAGAGTCCTCGGCTAAGAATCTCACCCATGGATCCCACGTGTCCCTGAAAAGTGTGTATCTGTGAGAGATGGAGGCATGGATCTCCTCCATGGTTTTGATTGATTCTACTTTACTTACCCATTCCCTGATTGTGGGGAGTTCAGGGTTTTTCCATTTTGCTGGGATGAGCAAATTGGCTGCAGTCAGGAGATGTGTCAGAAGGGGTTTCTGTGTCTTAGGGGTTGAGGTAGGTAGGATCAGGAACAGCAGAGTGTGTGGGGTATGTTGTAGTTGGGACCCTGTTACCGTATTGATCATTTTGACTATGTTAGTCCAGTACTTTTGCGTGAGCGGGCACTGCCACCAGATGTGAGCAAGGGCTGGGAAAATTTCCAGCAGACATCTGGTGTGCCTGGGATGATATTGTGAATTTTGGCCGGGGAGTAGTGATGTCCCGAACTGTTTGCCGAACGGTTCGCCACGAACGGTTCGCCGTGGACTCCAGTAAGCAGACACATTCCAGCCAATCAGCAGCAGACCCTCCCTCCCAGACCCTCCCACCTCCTGGAAAGCTCACTAAGAATGCAGCTTCAAAATGGATGCCGCCATTGTGGCGTCGTGATCTGTATATTCAGGTCTGTTGACCAGGTGTCTGTGAAGGGGGGTAACTGGGTAACATCGACTGCCTGCAGGGTTTTGTAGAAGGTCGATAACTGTTTCGTTTTGACATTCAGGTCAGGCATTGTGTCTCAAAATCGGATAGGGCCCTTGAGTAAGACTGCTTAGAAAATGGGTCAGCTGTGCGTAGCGAAACGCTTGTAGTGTGTGCGGAGCCTCGGGGCCCACCAGACTAACCAGTGTCCGTATAGAGTCCCTTTCGACCACTGAGCCTAGCGTCAGGTAGGGAGTGTCAAGCATGTTGTTGTATCGTTGGTATGCCCCTGGATGCATTCCTGGGGGGAAGAGTGGGTTGTACGTGATGGGGAAAAGGGGGGATGGGTGGGGGAAAATATTCCAAGCCTCTCGCATGTTTGTCCACGTCCTAAGTGTGGGGGAGATGGTGGGATGGGCATCGTTGCGTGAAAGCAGTTTTGAGGGAGCACTTCTCTGCCACGGGAGCGTATAGAGAGGTACTAGGCTTACCGCGTTTTCGAGGGCTACCCATTGTCGCGTTGATGGGTATTCGGTCCAGTCGTATATTCTGGTAAGAATGACTGCCTTGTAGTATCGTTCTATGTGTGGGAGGCGAGGTGAGGACCTCATATGGGATTCTAGGTTGTTTCTGTGCCCAGATAAAGGTGGTGAAAAGTTGCCTGAGCTTATTGAAGAAGGATTTGGGTATAGCTATGGGCAGGGTTTGGAAGAGGTATCTTAGGGAGGGAGTTCATTTTAAGAATATTGATTCTACAGAGCCAAGAGAACTGCGGTTTATGCCAAGCTTGTAGGTCCTTTGAGATGGCTTGGAACAGTGGGTCATAGTTCAGGGCGTATATGGAGGACAGGTCCGCCGAGAGGCGAATTCCTAGATACGTAATGGATTTATCTGCCCATTTGAATGGGAATGTGGCCTGCAGATATTTGATTGAGGGGGGAGTAACTTGGCGTGGTAATATTTTGCTTTTTGAAAAGTTGACTTGAAAATTGGAGAGTTTATTATACAGGCTGATTTTTTCGAGGAGGGGGGGGTATCGAGGTGGTAGGTGTTTGTATGGTGAAGAGTAAATCGTCAGTGAACGCTGAGATTTTGTACTCTGCGTTTTGTATTTGGATGCCCCTGATATCTGGGTTGTTCCTGATTCCATTTAAGAAGGGTTCTAGTACGAGAAAAAGAGAAGGGGGGAAAGGGGGCAGCCCTGTCTCGTGCCGTTTCGAATGTGTACTGGTTCTGAGAGCTGTCCGTTAACTCTCAGTTGGGCCGTGGGAGTAGATGGCCTCCATCCAGTCCAACCACCGGGGTCCGGATCCCAATTGACGTAGGGTGGCCGTCAATAGTGACCAGTCCACCCCGTCGAACGCCTTTTCCGCATCAATTGAGAGTAGGAGGCTCTCGGTCTGCTGGTGCTTTGCCAGGTAGATTAGACTTAAAATTTTTGTTGTGTTATGTTTTGCTTCTCTGTTAGGGACGAAGCCCGCTTGGTCGTGGTGTATCAAGGTTTGTAGCAGTGGTTTCAAGCGGGTGGCCAGTATTTTCGTAAATAACTTCACGTCTAGATTTATTAGGAAGATTGGGCGATAGCTACCGCAGTTGGTTGGGTCTTTACCGGGTTTGGGTATAAGGGCTATGTGTGCCTCCAGAGATGCCGTAGGGAGGGTAGTTGCGTGGGCGAGGGAGTTAAATGCCTGGGCGAAGGGTTCAGATAAAGAGGTTGTGAACGTCTTGTAGTATTTGGCTGTAAAGCCATCAGGTCCCGGGCTCTTCCCCAGTTTGAGATGCCGTATAGCTAAGGCAACTTCGTCAGAAGATATTGGTTCTTCCAGTGATGGAAGGGCATTAGCGGGAATGGTTTGGTGGACCCTATTGGTCAGAAAGTGTTCAATGTTCGTGAGTGGGGGGGGGGCGTCTCTCAGGTTATAGAGCTTGGTGTAAAAGTCGTGGAAGGCTGTCAGTATGTCTGGAAATTTGTAAGATATAGCTCCCGAGGAGGTTTTGATTTTGGAGATGAATGTCGGATGTCTTTGTTGTTTAAGGGAGTTTGCTAACAGGCGACCACATTTGCTTCCGTAGGCATAGTATGAGTGCTTCGTTAACATGATTGTGCGTTTAGTTTTGGCATTTAGTATGTCTTGTAGTGCTGACCGTTTGGCCGTGAGGGCTTTGTAGGTTTTTAGGCGTGTATCTGATTTATGTAGGGATTCTAGTGCCCTTATTTCTTCCGTAAGAGTACGAAGTTTGGCCTCTCATCTTTTTGTGTCTCGCTGCCAGGGCTATTATCTCTCCTCTTAACACGCA